TGAAATATCTCGAAAAGTCATGACAACTTAATTGTTAAATATTTTTATATCCATATTTATTTATCTAAAAATCTCATATTTTATGGCCACAACTAAAATTCATATTTATCTAATAAAGAATGTTAATTTCTAAAATTAATTTTTATATTTTGGATTGTTCAATTTAGTTGATGATTTTTTTGTCCATATGTATCGAACTACAAAATCTTTTAAAGTTTAGAAAGAATCTTATAATATGTGGATTCTTGGTACCTATTTTTTTTGTACACATCTATTTTTCATCTCATATCAAAATTGCAAATTTTAATACGAATCTTAAATATCTCATATTTATTATATATATTTAAAAAGCATTACGATTCATATAATTAATTTTATCATATATCTGTGTTGGATATCATTGGTTTGGTTGGAGACACTCATTATATTCAAATAAATTATACATAATTTTTCATATTTTGTATTTCTTTCTTGCAATAATGAGATGTTAAATATATATATAATTATATTTAAAATAAAATTTTTAAAAATGTTTTAAGTAATAAACCCGTCCGTGCATTGCACGGGATGCGCACTAGTTTTATAGTTGATTATGATAAGTTAATGTTTTTTTTATTACATCAGTATTAATAATTACATTTATTTATCTTATATTTACTTAAAATATAGAACTTGTTGCATTCTTCTCATTTTGTTTGGACTATCTCCCCTATTATTTGTACAAGATATAAACTTTCCAAAACAATTCTATACATATATGGGTAAACCTAATATGCCCCTTGGAAAGTAATGTGACTAAAAAATTGATTCATTTGTTAGGTACAAATAGTAATAAACCGTGGCTACTGGCTGTCAGAGATTATTCGATCCACCATCCGTAGTTAAACCGTGGCTACAGCATGACTTCCTTGGCATTGTTCACTCATAGAATATAACTACTGAGAATCTTAGGCTTTTGCCTCCTCTCTTTGTACCCAAAAAAAAAAAAAAACAATAAACCAATACATAAATGAGGAACAAGAACCAAGCCGGGGGTAAGGAGGTCCCGGTTTTAGGAACGGCCAACTCAAGTTCGGACCTACGATTCTAGACCCACCCAACGGGTTCAAATGTTTTTTTTTAAAAATAAAAATAAAAAATTGAGTGAATTTTAACCGTTGATATTGCAACAAATACGAAATTCAATGGCCGAAATTGAATTATAGTCAAACCTGAGCCGTCGTTTCCACGTCGGACTGAAAAATTCAAAATTTTGGGGCCGAACTGGCGAGTCGAACCTATTTTGGATTGGACCTTAACCCACATGGTCAAAATGCTTTGAAGATTTGAAGCGGAACAAGTCCGTTTGATACATGGACCTTGTCCAATTTTGGTAACTACGGTGAACGGCCGACCCCACCCAATAGCAACCTCTAACTATGAAGTAAAGGCAATCAGCGGATAGAAGAATCTTGAAATGTAATATGGTGGGGCAAAAATGCCTAATTTTTATATTCAAAATAAAAATATCAATACTTACAAAATAAAATAAATAAAAGATTTAAAGTATTTTAAAAATTTATTTTATCAAAATATATATTTTTATATTATCAAACCGAAAATCGAGTGGTTATGTTAAGCAAAATGAACTTCTCATAAGTTCAGCTCTTCTAGTTAAGATTCAAAAATAATATTCATATAATTTTTATAACTAAATTAGTTGATATTCGAGTTTGTCTCATCCCCTATATATACTTGCAGAATTCGTTGAGCCTAAGTGACGGAATCTCACGTTTCAGAATTCTATGTGGCAAAAAATCATACTTTGGAGTCAGGCTTGGACATAAATTAATAATTTTTATAGAAAAATAATTAGGCTTGAATTTCATTTAATGTCTATATTTTTCATATTAAATCCATATTGATATCTTCCTTCTTTTCTTCTACAATTAGTTACCATAAATATTTTATGTTTCCTTTTTCTATATTATCATATATTACATTTCCTTTTATTATTTAATTCATACACCAATTATAATAAAATGTTTCTTCTTCTTATTTTTAAAATTTTATAACTTTTTTTTGTTTGTATTCAGTTTCATTTATGATATATCAAATTATTTATCTTTTGAAGATATTGATTTGACATTCATATAACATATATAATACAAAAAAATGATATATATCCTTAAAAATAACATTTAAATTTATTTATTAAACTAAATTAAAAATATCAAATAAAAATATAAATTATCTTATAAAGTAATAGAAATTTATGTGTATTAACATAAAATAAATAATTATTTTACTTGGAAAAAAAATATATAAACTAAGTATGAACATATAAAAAATGGGTATTACTTTATTATATTTTATTTATGAATTATATATTTAATTTTTTTCACTCTAAATATTAATTTCTTCATTCCTTTATTTTGATAAAATACTTAATTTTCAAGCACTCGATTTGTTCACGAGCCTTATATTAACTGCTGAATAAATTAATTATTCTATTTAATTTTTATGAAAATGAATATATATGAAATAGAACAAATAATACTTCATAAAAATATTTTTTAGAATTCAAAATAATATAAAAATATTTATTAATAATTATTTATAGTTATTTACTTTACAATAAGAACTAGTATTCGATCTTGTGCACATGCACAAAGAAAAACAAAAATTTATATATTATATGTACGTATATGATATTTAAAATTTTTAATTAAATAAAGTTCATATTACATTTTAAAATTTTAAATATATGTAAATCTATAATATAAATATAATTTATTTAGCTTCCATATAAATCAATTTTCTATTTTTTTGTTATTGTATAACTATAATACAAAATAGGAATATTGAATGTTAAATAATTTTACATAGTACATTCAGAAAATTTAAAATCTTGTATATCTGTTATAGAATAAAAAATTAATAATACTAAAGTTTTAATTGTGTAATCTATCATTATATTAAAAGATTAACCATTTAACTCTTTTAGCAAGCTTTTCCCGCCAAATACATTTAATGTCTCCTAAAAATAGATTAGCATTAAATGTTGCCCTTAAATCATGGCAGTTGTTAATTTAGTTTGGAGAAAATCGTGGAAATTAAAACAAACAACATTAATTACGGCTGATTTAATATTTAAATGGTAAACAAATATTACTTTTTTATGACTGATTTAAATTTACGTCTGTTTAAAAGTAAAAAACTACTTTTGTAATTTCAACAAATTTGTACTCTTTAATGTACGGCTGATTTAAAATTAAGAATTTACTTTTGTATTTTCACAAAAAATCGTATAAAGAAGTATGGCTGGAATAATAATAAAAAATTAATTTGTTAAACCATATTTTGCACTCGTAGATACGAATTCTCATCAAATTCAAGATTTAAAATTGTGAAGAATGTATATAGATGTGGACTGATTGAAAATATATGATTCCTTAAATTAAGGAATTTTTTCCAGTAAAAAAAATATAAACTTTAAATATAGATTTTATTAGTAGTGTATACCAAAGAATATTGTTACATTTAAAATTTCTATGAAGAAGAATTCTATTAATTTTCAAATTCAACATCTCATAAAAATAATATAATACACTTTTACATTCTATGAAACAATATTTAAAACCCACCGTTCAACATGCATAAAATGTAAAATTACCTAACATGAGTCATTTTAACTTTCTAAAATCAGTACACAATTTGATCGGTATGTACTAATAGTCTAATAATTAAGAGTTAATATTTGCTATGACATCTATTTGTTAGAAAGAATTCCATTTTGTATAGAATTCGAAATAAAAAAAAAAAACATATTATGAAAATCAAATCTGATTTAGAGATCGATTTCTTAATGGCTTTAAATTATGCAAATATATTGTTTCAGTTTTTAGGATTCTTTTTTATGATCTCAGTCTTTGCATTATATGAAATCTATACTTATATAAAAAGCCATCCTATTTATTAGAAATAGTAGGCAGAAAAGTCAAAGGTAATTAATGCTTGCTGGAAATAGAATGATATTAATTACAGATTTGTTTTGGTCTTTATACGCTTGACATTAAAGATTTGTTATGGGATAAAAATCAGAACCCATTTTTTTACATTTGCTGGAAAAGTCAAAGGTAAGTATAGATTTGTTTTATCCCATAGCATCGGTTTATTTAAGAGAATCCCATCAAATCAGTTTTATATGTTAAGCATATGAATAAAGATTTAATCGGTCAAAATTAAATCTTTATTTTACGTCACCCATAAATAAAGTAGATGTCAAGTCTAAATTGAAAGGTTTAGTTGTCTATATAGTCATTGATTTACGTAAATACATCTAATGTTTAAAGTTTGTGTAGATTGAAAATTCCTTCTTATCTTTTTACAAAAAATCGTATTATTATTGTATGAAAAATCAAACTCATAATGTTGTGTACAAGGAGGTATTTAATAATATATATTGCTTGTTTGTCAAATACTATCTTATTGTACAATTTTCCTGCGTATTATTAAACTTTTATCGAATATTGCATCTTATAATATAGTATTCCTCAAATAAATATATCCCGTGCCTCGCACGGGTCACGTACTATATATATCCCGTACATTTTTCTGTATACATGTATATAATTATAAGTTTGGATAAATAGCCTTAAAATTGTGCACCTCGTGCATCGCACGGGCTCTGTACTAGTTGTCATTGAAATGCTGGTCATAAAAATTTTTATTAAATGATATCTTATTATTATTAGTTGTTAACTGAATAAAATTTATTGAAGCTTACAAGCAATCGAAAATGCTCCCCAACCCATACCTACTGCTTATGTGGCATGCATACATTGGTGATGTTAATATGTTAAAAAATACATCACCAATGTGTGCTTGCCACATAGGCGGTGGGTATATTAACATGTGTCTACCGTGAGTAGGGGAGCATTTTCCGACAAGCATTTATGTATATCTTTTTCAATTTTCGTTGGACTTTTATGAAACACCAATTTAGTTCAAACAAGGTGGTGCGTCCTTGTTAAACGGGCCAAAATTATTTAAATCTAATCCCCGTCTCTTTAAAAACAAAGCCCGCAGGCCAGTATCCTTTTAATCTCTTTCAGTGATGATGTCATCTCTCACCAGCTGTCCCATGAACTGTGCTGCCCCTTTTTGTAAGCTTATCTCTCTTATTCCTTTTTCCTATCATATTATTATCGTCATTACCAGTCGAATGAAACTCAGTGAAGTTATTAAGTGGGAACAAATTCTTCAAATAATTTCCAAAACAAGGTCTGGTTTTGAGCTGAAATTTAAACTGAAAATCCTGGTCAAATCTTGAGTAACTCCATGGAATCTAATCCGTGCTCTTTTTAACTGAATGTTGTGCTATTCCTTTTCCATTAGCCATGAGTAATATCTTGTTCCTTCTTGTTTGGTTCTGCGCAATCTTCAAAATTCCCCTAATTTTAGCTTGGGTTCCTCCCTTTCGTGATTGTTAATTTATTCTTAAGTTCTGGAAAAACAATTGATGCCTGCACATTGTTTTGGTGAGCAAGATTAAAAGGGAATGAAGATATGTTGAGTGTTCTTTTCTCGAAAGCATCATTTCTTTTTTTTTTTTTCTTTTTTTTATGAGTAGTATACTTTAGATTTGACCAAGAAAAGATAAAGGTGGCCTTCAATTTCTAGTTGCCAAAGAGAGATCTGTTTTTGGTTAGTTAGAACAGAAGACCGGCCAATTAAGTAGTTCCAATCTTGTATTTTAATGGTTGCTTAATAAATTACTTCAACTTGCCCAACTTTGCATTTTCAGGCTAGCTGTTTGTATGGTATTAACCAATAGTATACAAGCACAATTTATGTTGTATGGTGGATTTGACTTTTTTTTTTTCTCTCTCTCAAGTTACTTGAAAAATATAATCAATTCCAACTTGCTTGATTTGCATGGATTCTGCATGTAGCTTAAGAATCCGACCACATTTCACTAAATTATCGTTCTTTTTGCTTTGTTTAGGCGTTACGAGGATTCGATTAGTAATTTTGATTAATTTTTTATATTGTCTTCAGCTGTGACTTTCTCTGTCCTAATAACACCGAGATTACATTATGCCTGAAGCAAATCAAACTATTGAAACAGCAGAAAAGATGTCTGCCTTAGGGTATGGAAAACCTCCATGGGTGTTCAAAGGCAGGCAAGTGCTAATCCATTTCTTTAGATACAAAAAATTATATCATTCGTTTATAATTCAGATGTATAAAATACTATTTGAAGGAGTTGTGTACTTGTGTTCTCTCTTGATATTTCAGTGCCTTGTATCAGCTTCATCTTGTGAAAGCAGAGACTGCTCGAGCTCTGATTCCCAAAGAATTCAAGTTAGTGGAGGCATTTGGGTACTGATCAGTTTTCTCAAAGAGTACACCTTTAATTATTTAGAAAATGTAGGTTCATGTGAGAGATTTGTTTGGTTTTTATTCTATTTTTCAGTTAAAATTGGTTAATATACTCTGCAGATACACCCTCGGCGGATTTTTTCTTGCCAATTATGCAGACAGTCCTGCTGGAAATTTTGACGAGGTTTTGTCTTTATTTATACATTTCTACTTATTTATTTCTGAAAAAAAGAAGAAAAAACAAAAACGCTTAAGACCACTATGATATCTGGGGATGTTCAGTATTCTATCTTGGGCAGAAACAAATACTACTTTGTTCTTAGTGTAATGTCAACTAGCTTAACTTTTATTTGGCCTTAATACTTTACAGCTTGTGGTCCTAGCAGGAATTGTTTGGAATCCTCCTACATCCTGTGCGTAAGTTGTTCGGCCAATCTTTTTAGACTCATGTAATGGGTATCTCTGTTATGGTCTATTTAGTCTCCGTAGTTTTTTGTGTTGTTTTCCCACTTTCCCTATCTTTTAACTTTAGTTTATTTTTTCTTCACTTTCTATTGGTCGACTCTTCAGTTGATAAATTTGTTTCAAGAAATTTGCACCATGATTGCTTCCATGCATAGACGAGATTTTGATCTTAAGATGAAATATTGATTAATATGCACTCATGAAAGCTTCTAGGTTTATAAAGATGTTCTTAGTACAACTCTTTATCTATTGTTTTTGTCAATATAGATGGGCTGCACGAGTGCTGGTGAGCAGCAATCAAGCATGTGCCCATGGACGAGAGGTCTGTTTTTTATTATTTACTTTAAAGTCCACTATGCCATTATCTATAACACGAGTCTTCAACTAAAGATCTTGTAGTTTAGTATTTAGTCTAATTATAACAGTTCGAACATCTATAAAACCCAACAATAGTTTTGCTCGTAACATTCTCACATTGGCTAATGGCATTTTTTTTTATATGCTTTTTGCAGGACGTTGGACTTCCTAGTCAAGTCGCCACTTTCACAAAGGTGGGTTTTCAAATTGTTACGAGTACCGTTGGTTTTTCTTGAAGATGATAATGTTATGTGTCAAACCCAGAAAGTTACAGCACTTCCTGTGACAAGGAAAGGTCCGTTTCGTAGCTTGTTGAGCAAGATTGGAATGGATGATTCTCGTAAGAACGTGAAGACTTGCATGGACATACATGTCGAAGAGATGATCAACAACCACAAAGCAATGAGCCTATGCAGTATCAATCTTAATGCTAATGGTACTACACACACACACACACACACACACACAAATAAGGGTCTAGATGTTTGAATTACTGAAAATATGTTCTTTTTTAAGTTGTTCACTGTTAATTTGCGGATGCACGTAAATCAAAATGCCCAGAATCTTGATTTCGCGTGTTGTATGTTTTTATGAATCTCATTGTCTTTGGTAAAATTAATTTTTTATGCCCTCTTAGATTTTTTTTCCTTTTTTTTTTTCCTTCTGAAAGCACTGGTAGCACCTCAAAAGGACACAAAAAGATGGATGGGCCCTGCAGTAAAACTCTCCCTCCCAAGCTTTAGGTTTTATACCTTCCTTAAATGATTGCACTCGCCAAATTTACCAGGAAATATGAATTGATTGTTTTTGTTTGGTGTTTGCAGTGGGCGAACGGAGTTTTTTCCTGACCTCCTCAAGTACTCTTGCCAGATCGAATGCAGGTTACGTTTTGTGATTGAACTATATCATTGATTAAGGATGTTTGTTTTGTGATTAATATATAATGAATTAATTTTCCCATTCCATGTCGACTTCCCTTTCTATATTTCTGTTGACATTAGAAGTATTACAAAAATGCTCTTCAAATTTCAAAGAAATACCCTCAAAATTTTTAGTTTACAAATTTTCTCTACATAAGAAAAGTAAGTCAGAAATATTGCAGTTACCCCTTAAATTTAATGTTTGATCGAAGTTCAAGAATGTTTTTTTTTTTATTTTTTTTATTTTTCTTTTTTTTTACAAATTGAAACTTTTCAAAATCCTTAGGAATATATACATTCTTGCCCCATTTAGAGGTAATATTGTAGAAATTATTGTGTAAAAATTTATTGGATTGCTTCAGGTTGAGAGCAGTGCAGCCAGCTCAAGTTGTGGGCCCACTTCATGTGGATGACGAATCAACTTCCGAGACAGACATTAAACGAAACCATGCCATATCCGTGATGCTATCGAAGCCAATTTTAGCTTTAGAGTTCGATTGTTTGAATATGAAGGTTGATGCTCCTACTGTGGTTCCACAATAAAAGTGTGAGTTACATATCTCACTGTATAATGTGTAGATTTGTTTGCTAATAATGTTTGCCATTTTGGGTGACATAGGTGCAATCTTTCGTGTTTTCTTTTGTTTCCAATATTTTACTACTCTGTGTTAACCAGTGTATGCATAAGATGCTTCTTTCTAGGGATGTTTTCAGTTAATACTTCAGAGCTAAGAGGGGGTTTTGGTAAGAAAAAATCAAATGGTTGCATGTAAAATTGGATTTGATTGTTTTGTTCTTTTTGTTTTTTTTTTTTG